CAATTGTATCTACAAGATACTCCATCACTTGAATCAGGATGGACTGTACATCCTGACCAATCCCCAATGCAAGTATGTACAGTGTACATGTGTATAATACACAGTATGACTGTTACCTATTATTATAGATACATCAATATGTAGTGGACAAGTTTATAGACAATCCTATGTGTTCCAGTATCCATATATCAGTGTATGCTAAACCTGGTATTGCTAAGGATCCACTTCATTGTCCTATTACATTAACTGGAATAGATCCTTCAAAAATAGTTTACATCAACCGAACTCCTCCTCTTTTTTCAATGAGTTAGTTTATGATGATTGATCTGTAACTTTTATTTATTTATTTGTATAGTAGACAGTACTAGCTCAAGCTCCTCTACTGCTAGTATCAGTCAAACCAGGAGAGAGACTGAAGAAGGTATGGTTGATATTAACATAATAACACACTAATCACTGAATTTGTATCATTAATAGGTACATTTAGATCTGATATTGCTCATAGAGTAATGACCGAATGTACTGGAATGATAAAGGAAAGGCTTGATCTAAATACATTAGTAGATAAGCTACTGGAGAAGAGGATGATAAATGAACGACAGAAAACTAAAGTTCTTGATGAGAGATGTGGACTAACTGCTAATCAAAGAATGGACGAGCTGCTTAGTTTAGTTAAAGCATCCATTAGGGAGGATGGAGAAGATTTTGGTTTGTTTGTAGAAATAATTAAACAAGAGAATACAAGAAGAACTGATAGACTAGCACAGACACTATTAGACAATTATAAAAGGTTATTATAATTTTAGTATAAAAATAATTTTGTGTCATTCTTTTAGACTAATGCATTGATTTTTTTGTCTATAAAAAGCATTAATCATCAACAACACCCACGCAATTATGATCCATGAATATTTAATTAGTAGTTTTATTGATAGTTTCCATAGTAACATAACAAATGAATAACGTTACCAGAACACATGGCGGTAAAGGAGGAGGATCAAGAAATGAAGCTCATAGCTCATTGAAAAGAAATGTCTGTTGGTTTGTTTCTTCCTCAAGTACCCAGACAAAGTATGGAAGAGGCCCTAGACGTGATAGACACTCTATCCAAAGCTAATGCGGTCCTACAGACCCACAGAGAGAAAATGAGGAGGAGGAGCAGCTCAGTGTCTCCATTCCCTCCCACTGATCCGCCCCCTCAACCTCTCCCTCCTTCTCTTCTATCTGGTTGGACGGAGAGACAAGAGGATGAGGAGATTGAGGAAGTGTTGTTAGCTGCTCCTCAAAAGAGTGTGGCTAAGTTACTGAGTGGTGGCCGGCGTAGTCGTGTTGCTCCGATACAGTCAGTGTGGGAGGATAAGGAGAATTTAGTTGACACACCCACTGAACTATTTGTAATAGACAATAAAGACTCATCACCATTGTGTTCACGTACTACAAAAGAGACTATACCACCGGAATCACAAGAAGTTCCTTTATTCTCATTGCAAACCACACCCACTACTTCACATGATTCACCATCACAAGATACACTCTCATCCTCTCTCCTTTGATACAAGCGAGTTATTCCTACCAGTGACACGAACACTGAAGATAATTCTAGTAATGTACATGTACATACAAGTAGAAGTAC